AAAAAGTATCATTTTGCTACCCTTTTGTAATTTCGAAGGGAGAGTGATGGCTTGGCAGGACTGGTACTATGAGTCAGTTAGAAAGTTGCCTCTCCTTTTTGTAGTAATTAATAATCATTAAATCAAATTGAAAAAAAAATAATTTTCTATCTCAAGAATGATATTCAAAATGTACGAACAACTCTTACTAATTCTTTTTTTTTTTTAATTTTTTTTTTTATTTCAACTTTATTACTTAGAACGCTTTTTTTTTTTCTTTTTTGAGACAGAGTCTCACTCTGTCACCCTCAGTAGAGCACTTTCATAGCTCACAGCAAGCTCCAACTCTTGGGCTCAAGAGATTCTCTTGCCGCAGCCTCCCAACTAGCTGGGACTACAGGCGCCCACCAAAATGCCCGGCTATTTTTTAGAGACGGGGTCTCGCTCTTTGCTCAGGTTGGTCTTTAACGTGAGCTTAGGGCAATCCACCCAACTCAGGCTTCTGGAGTGCTAGGATTACAGGTGTGAGCCACCGTGCCAGGCCTGGACACCACTGCTTTAAAGGATCCTAATAATCTGTCCCAGAAAAAAAAGAAAAAAGCCTGCATAATTCAATAAGCATACTTAATATATCAGTAGTAAAGGCTAATTTTTTAAAACCTAAAATAAGATGAAAACTGCAAAACATTACAGATCCTCTGTTGGAAATTAAACAAAATACCACAAACTGCACCAGCAAAAATAAATGCAGTAGACAAAGGATGAAAAAGTATTTGGATTACTAGTTTTATAATGAAAACCTGTATCTGGACTCAACTTGGTAAAAAGCACATAAACTGTAACAGTAAGGGACATGAATTATAGATCTTTGTCATCCTAGAGAAGCAGAAAACATCAGCCCTGGGGAGAGGGGACGAGCAATAGTCCTTAGAAATGCCATGCAGGCAGATTTCAGTCCTACATTAGGGGAGACCAGGTAAAACTTCAAGCACAAATGTACCCATATGACCAGTTATTACACAGTCAACTCAACCAGACTATACCCCTCAACTTTTTTCATTTCAAAACACGAGAGTGAGATCTCCATTTTCTTACACACCTTGGCCTTGCTGATGGATTGCTAAAGATCTCAGAACTGGCGAACTATTGAGTAATGCATAGATAAAAGACTCCACTTGCAATCTTGAGAGCACAGAAGTGTAAGAATGCAGGGCCAGGGTCTGGTGGAGGTGCTCAGATTTCGCATCAAATAGCTTCTTTAGCTCCCCCAGCGCATTTTCATTCATCTCTACTCGCTGGTAGCGATGATAACCAGAAACTTTCACTTGATCTGCACAGACACCCTACCAGTAGACAAAAAGGTAAAATGTGAAACCAAGTTACTCTTTGCATCTGAAGTAATGAGGTAGCAGTATAAGATATGCAGACTTCAGTATCATCTTCAAAGAGCTTGTAATCACAGTGAGGGGACAATACTGCTATGTAGAGAATATTACCACCAAATACATGATCAGGTGCAATACAGTGTAATCTCAATCACAAATATCTTAGACGTTCAGAGAAGGGAAAAATAACTATAAGAAGTAGTCAGTGGGGAAGGGTACATGAAAATAGTAGATCTTATCCCTAACAGTGTTATGATTGATGATCTTATCTCCTATCTTACGAACACTGAGACCATGTGATATCTCCTCAACTTCAAGGTATCTCAAAATTGTGGCTCTACCCTCATCATTCTTTGTGGTTCTATTCAAAACAAACCCCTCTCCCCTCCCATACTAACTCCTCCAGCTGTGTTCTAGATTCTACCCTCTTTTTCAATAGTATTTCCAATGTTTCCTTCTCCACAGACCCTTCCTATCTGTAGAGATGCACAGCTCTCCCAAAGAATGAGGGTTAGGGATAAGGGAAATCATGCGCTTCCCACTTTCCTTCACTGCCACACTTTTCAAGAATGGTCTTCTTGTTCTTATTATAAGCTCCCAAGCCACTATGAAATGGCTTTGTTATGGTCACCTTGGCCTCCATCTTATGGCCTTACCTGCTGCCTCATCTCCCAACCCTGACCCTCTCTATCCATTGGATGTTTGTGGCATTATGCTTAAGGTCACAAACTCATGGCCCATGCACTGAATTCAACCTGGAGACATGATTTGCTTGGCTTACACTTGCATATATGTATGTGTGTATGTGTCTGATTTGCTGCCAACGTTTAGAAATTAGAGTCCCTCACATAAAAATCCAGATTTCTACATTTTTTCTCAGAAAATCTTAAGATCTGGCAATGCTACGCCATCAAAACCTCACAGCAACAATCAACTAGAACTCAAGAGTGCTGTCTCCTCTAGACCACGAGTCTGCCCAGTGACCATTGTCCCGCTCAGCCTTCTTCACTCCTCCAGGTCACACACCGGGCCCCTCAGGCATTTGACTTTGTGACCCCTGCACTGTACTACTCTGAACTGAGACAGGGTGAGTGCACAGGGAGAAGCCTCCAGACCTGGACAGCACCACCGCAAATTCCCCAGGCTCCTGATCAAAATACCTGTACAAGCATTTGTTCCTCCTTAAAGTGCCATAGCCGGCTTTTAGCATTTTGGCAATCGGACGTCAAAGTAAGTAGCTCAGCCTCAGCCAGCAGCAGTTGCTTCCTACATCGTGAGTAGTTCAAAAGCAACTCATAAAATTCATGTCTGTCCTGATGAGCCATGCTGTCAAATTCTTCCAAATATGACTCAACATTTTCTAGCCATGAGCCAGGCTCCAAGATTTTTAGCTGCTCTTTAGTAAATGGTACTAGTTCTGGCTGAGATGGGAGTTCTGGGTAGAGCCGCTCACCACGAAGCAAGGGTTTCACTGCCACCAAAGCTGGTACCTCTCCAGCAATTTCAGCTGGCAACTGGGGATAGAGTTTCTTTACTCTTGGAGGCTTAGAAACAGGTTTGGCTTCACAAGAACCCTGCAAGCCAACACTTTGTAGCACCTCTGAAGAACCACCTAAGGTTTGTTTGTCTTCTTTCCCATCCTGAAGTTCTCTAACTTGTAAGTTTTCCATTTCCTGGTGAGTATGTGAAAAACTAGACCTAAGCGTGCTTTCTGCAAGTCCATATTGTACCAATTTATTTTCTTCCACCTCTGTAAAGTTCTTCAGGGTTTCAACTGCAGTGCCAACACTGCCCCCAGGGTCAACGTTGGCCATGACTACACTGTCCCCCACACAGGTTCCAACCTCTCCCCCTTCCTTCAGGGGCTCTGGGTTACACATTAGTGTCCTTTCATTGCTTATAGTTAAGGAGGCGAGTGGTACATCAAACATTTCACTTTCATTTTGTCCACTGGCATTTTTCTGGAGCTGGGAATCAGTTAACACCTTCAAATGGTCTCCTTCAAATTCACAGGCTGGAGAAGGGATTTCCTGCTCTCTGGAGGTTTTTGGAAGGGAAATTTCATCAAACTCTTCCCTCTGTAGGGTTTCATATTTCTTCTTTTCCTATAAACAAGATTTATAAAGTGAAATAACTTGTAACAATAATTCATACTCACAGCATAGGGACTTTTTCAGTTGCGTATAAAAATCTAAATTTTATCATTTAACAAACAGAACCTAAATTCACTTCATTAGCAATGTATGCCACAATTTATATTATCCAATCAAGTACGCTGAATTGAGCAATTCACTAGGCTAAATCGTAACAGAAAAAGATATACAAAGTAGCAAATTCTGATTCAAAAAATGAAAGAGGAAAGTCTTACATTGCCCTCCATTCTGCTAGAGGTTACGTAAAACAGAACAGTCACCAGTATCTCAGACCATAATAGGTTTGTCTTCATCTTGACAAACATGTTTACTCAAAACTCAGACAGAAAAGAGTAGAACGACTTGTGCAACAAAACAAACAACTGTGCAACTGGATTATAACCCACAGAATAAAATAAATAACCATGCGCCCATACTGACATAATTACCTCAATGAGTAAGTAAAAAACATGAGCAAGAAGTAACAACTCTTCCATATGGAAGAATTTCAAGTTAGAAGGCATGGGCAAAGAATTCCAACATAGAAGGAATGGGCAAAATTAAAAATCACAATGAGAACACCATGGTAACTGCTGCAGGCAAGGTCTACTGCTAGATGCTAAAGTGAGTGAACCCAGAATTTAAGCAGACACAGTATCTGCACAGTTTCAAAGTCCTTCCTCCCAAATATTTAGTAACTACAAAGGAGAAAACAGTAAGTTTCAGTGGAGAATCCTGGCAAAAAATACCTGAACCAAATGATCAAGGTTACATCCCCAGTAATACTAACATCAGATACCCTGCATAGGATACAGCAAAAGGCTACCTCGGCAGTGTCCCCAGTAACGTACTACTTCAGTCTAATCAAGAGAAAACATCAGATGAAAACCCAAACCAGGGGATAGTCTATAAAATAAAGTATTATGATCACAAAAGAAAAAAAATGTCAGAAAAGATCTGAAAACTTTAAAAAAGAGAGAGATAAAAAGAACAAAAAAGACAAGACTCAGGAACTTTCAGAAATTGGAGGAAAATACAGAGACATGACAATAACATACTACAGGATCCTGGACTAGATTCTGGAACAGAAAAAAGACGTAAGTGGAAAAAACTGGTGAAATCCAAACAAGTTCTATATTTTAATTAATAGTATTGTACCAATGCTTATTTCTTGGTTTTATTAAATGTTCTACGTCCCCAAATATATGGTTTAAAAAGATGATGACACAGAGCATGCTGAGAGAAGGGTATAAGGGAATAAATACTCTGCAATTATATTTGCAACTTTTCACTAAGTCCAAAATTACCTCCAAAAAACAGAAACATGAAAAAGTTAGTCATCAAAAAAGTTATGGTTTTTTAAAACCCATTAAAACCCATTTTTTAAAAAAAACCATTTAAACCTCAGGTATTAACACACCAACTAGATAATGTAGAAAGCCAGGGTGAATAAAGAAGAAAAATTATTTACATAACATTTAAATAAAGTTGTTACACTCAAATAAACTAAGACCTGAGAGATTTCCTTTTCACTATAAAATTCTAAGGAAGGCAAACATGACAGTCACCCAAGTCATTGGTGATGTGTGGTTATTCTGAATGCCCAGTAAAAAAGGTTGACAGATTAATAGCCAAGAAGGTGGGACATACATGTTAGGAGGAAAAGATGAATGCTGGGTAGATGGCACACCTCCTGAGTGAAGGTCTCAACCACAATTTAGGCATCACCTAGCCAACACAATGTAACTTGTTTGTATCTTTATTATTAATCTGAATTTTTTAAAAAAAGATAATGTTTTTGAAATGGAATTTGAGGTCTGCTTGCTGAAATGAACATGGCTGCCAAACATTTACAAACATGATTCAAGAAATAGTATGCCTTTCCAAAATTACTTCGCTCCCCACTATGAACTCAGAGGTGGTTATTAGATTCAGAGGTCAGACACACAATGCATACTTAGACAAATCAGTTTGTTAAAGTGCCTAAAACTGCCAGGCACATGCCTGTAACCCCAGCTACTCAGGAGGCTGAGGCAGCAGGACTGCTTGAGCACAGGAGTTTAAGACCAGGCTGGCAACATAGTGAGACCTTTCAAATTAATAAAAAAGAAGAGGAGGAAGAAGGAAGAAGGAACGAGGAAAGAAGAAGGGAGGAGGAATGAGGAGGAAAAGCAGAAGCAGCTGCCTAATATCATGAATAACAAAAAATAATGATTTAAGTGTTAATAAGAGAATGAAAAAGTAGTCCTAATTAACCACAGTGATATTCAGCACACTTCCTATAATAAAAAGTTTCTCAAACTGAGAAGTCAGAAAGAAAAAATTAGGAGATAAAATGATTACTAGAATGAAAGAAATACTGGTATATTAGTCAGGGCAGAAGTCAAATTTAATTAGAAGATGAAATCAATAAAACCACTTAATTTACAATAGCACAAAAAGAATGAAGTACTTAGGGATAAACTGAGTAAAACAAGTATATGTAAGACCTGTACTTTGAAAATTGCAAAACATTACTGAAACAAATTAAGAAAACTTAATAAACGGAAAGATACATCTTTCATGACATAAAGATAACAATATTCCTCAAATGGATGTACAAATTCAACACAATCCCTTGAAAAATTCCAGGGCCCTTTTTTTCCCAGAAATTGACAAGCTGATCTTTAAATTTATATGGAAATGCAAGGGACTCACAATAGACAAAAAAATCTTCAAATACATCAAGGTTGGCAACTCACACTATGCAATTTTAAAACCAACTACAAAGCTACTGTAATAAAAGACAGTGTGGTACTAGGACATGGATAGACAGAGCAATAGAATAAAACTGAAAATCCAAAAAGAAAACCTTACACCTGTGTTCAAGTTAACCAGAGTGCCAAGCAATTCAGCGGGGGGAAAGAATAGTCTTTTCAACAAATGGTGCTAGAACAACTGGATAGCCTCATGCAAAGACTGAAATTGGAATTTATATCATATACAAAATTAACTAAAAAGGAATGATCATAGACTTAATTAAAACTTTAAAGCAGGCTAAAAAGGGATGATCACAGACTTAATTAAAACTTTAAAGCAGTCTGGGCACGGTGGCTGACGCCTATAATCCTAGCACTCTGAGAGGCCAAGGCAGGTCTTGAGCTCAGGAGTTCAAGACCAGCCTGAGCAAGAGCGAGACCTAGTCTCTAAAAATAGCCAGATGTTATGGGGGGCACCTATAGTCACAACTACTTGGGAGGCTGAGGCAAGAGAATCACTTGAGCCCAAGAGTTTGAGGTTGCTATATCACCACATCACTCTACCCAAGGCAACAAAGTGAGACTCTGTCTCAAAAAAAACTTTAAAGGAAATGGAAGAATAAATCTTTGTGACTAGGGCTGGATAAAGCTTTCTCAGATATGACACTAAAAGCACAAGTGACAAAAGAAAAACTAAATAAACAGGACTTCAACAAAATTAAAAACTTCTGTCCAACAAGTGAAACAATCAAGAAAGTAAAAAGACAGCACTACAGAATGGGAGAAAATACTCATAAGACAAATATGTCTAGGATATACACAGAACTCTTACAACTCAAGAATAAAAATATACAACTCAATTTTAAAACAAGCAAAGGATCTCAACAGATGTTTTTCCAAAGATAAACCTATGATACATGAAAAGCTGCTCAACGTTATTAGCTATTAGAAAAATGCAAATCAAAACCACAATCAGATACCATGTCACACCCACTAAGGTGACTATTTAAAAAGTCAAATAATAACATGCGTTGGCAAGGATGAGAAATTAGAACCCTCATACACCACTGGTGGGAATGACAGAATACTAGACACGGGCGGCACCTGTGGCTCAGTGAGTAGGGCGCCAGCCCCATACACCAAGGGTGGTGGGTTCAAACCCAGCCCCGGCCAAACTCCAACAAAAAAATAGCTGGGACTGTGGCGGGTGCCTGTAGTCCCAGCTACTCGGGAGGCTGAGGCAAGAGAATCACCTAAGCCCAAGAGCTGGAGGTTGCTATGAGCTGTGACACCACAGCACTCTATCAAGGGTGACAAAGTGAGATTCTGTCTCTAAAAAAAAAAAAAATACTGTGACAAATAGCATGATGCAGCCAGCTACCAAGAATAATAGAGTTAAGATGGCTGTATGGCCTTTAGTTCACACTAAAAACCACTGAATTATACTTTTTTTGTTTGTTTGTTTGAGACACAGTCTCACTATGGCACCCTCAGTAGAGTGCCGTGTGGCATCATAGCTCACAGCAACCTCAAACTCTTGGACTTAAGCGATTCTCTTGCCTCAGCCTCCCAAATAGCTAGAACTACAGGTGCCCTCCACAATGCCCGGCTACTTTTTGCTGTTGTTGCAGTTGTCATTGTTGTTTTAGCTGGCCCAGGCCAGGTTCCAACCCGCCAGCCTCAGTGTATGTAGCTGGCACCCTACCCACTGAGCTACAGGCACCGCATAAATTATACTTTTTAACAAGGATAATTGTATAATACGTGGATTATATCTCAATAAAGCTGTTAAGAATAAAGATTAAAAGAATTTAGTAAGTTGAGAAATGAATGAAAATAAGGAAGTAGAGAATGAAATGCAGAATGAAAGGAGATTTTGTTTCTCTTAAGCTACAAGAGAACTAGGGGATTTTAAAAGCTAACTATGAGAAAGACCAAAGACAGGGAAAAGAAAATAGTCACAGGATGGGCCACATGACCCCAGCTCAGCCAACAACCACATCCCTACCCCACCCTCAGGGCACACCCAGCCTATCCCCACCCTCCCCCTATCTCACCCCAATCCCACCTCATAGCTTCCTCTCCCCACTCTAGGATTGCCCTTACAATTTCGACTACTTCTCCTCCACAACTTACCACTCCTAAACCGGTCTACACCCTGCAGGGAATAATCATAACCATAATAATTACTGGTAAAGTGGTTAGATAATCAAACAAGAGACTTTTTTTCTTTAA